CTCGGAGACTCTTGGAAACTGTATCCGTATCAATGTTATTTACCTTGTGCTAGTTTCATGTACTGAAACTTTGTTTCATAGCTATCAAGGGTTTCTACAATTTCTTCACCAAAGAAAACCGCCAGATCGTCAGCAGAAACTTTGTTGATGATCAACGACATGAAACAAGCAAAGTTTTCATGATCTCAGATCAGGTTGTTAAATTCTTCTTCACCAAATATCCACATTGATCTCTTTAGCTCCCATTTGGCATTGAATCAATGAGCCATGGAGAGACCAAGTGGCAACTGCCCTTTTACTTTTGTGGGAGGTTAATAAGGTAAGAAATCTGAACCACCAAAGCTAAAGTCTTGATTTCATCTCTATTTATGCTGAGACTCCTTCTCAACCATACATTTCTCGTTTCTGTCAAATGGGTTCTCAGATCTTCCATGCCCTCTATTCATTCTGCTTCCTCTTCACATTTTCTTTGTCTAACAGCCTCTTAATTAGGCATCTTCTCTGTCCATTAAAACAATGTCACAGATAAATAATTCATCTACGCAGCTTCAGAACCCTTCAAGACTTCGTTTCGATGAGGAAGTTAGAGTTGGAATTCATGTTGTCTGTCAGCATGTTGGTATGATTAACTCTAGAGGCCTCTGGTTTCATGATGACCCTTTAGAGTACACTTTGCCTCTCTTGCTGTTACAACTCTCTCTTATTTCTATCATCACACGTTCCATTTACATCTTTCTCAAGCCCCTTGGCCAGCCTTCCATTGTTTCTCATATTCTTGTAAGTTCCTCTCTCTACATGTTCTCCTCTCATGCAAATTAATGATTTCTTGATATATCACTCTGATTTGAGAGGTTGTCTCTGATCATATGTTTTTGATGTTTTGAATTCATCAGGGAGGGGTAATTCTAGGTCCTTCTATTCTCGGGCACAACTTGGCATTTATGAACAAAATCTTCCCGCGAGAAGGAAGAATTACACTCGAGACCTTGTCAGTGTTTGGCATCATGCTGTTTATCTTCCAGGTTGGGGTGAAGATAGATCCTTCCATCGTTTGGAAATCAGGTAAACGAGCGCTGGTCGTAGGAATTCTAGGCTTCTTCATTCCATTTGCTCTGGCTTCATCTATCAGATTACTCCTATGCCATTCTATCTCACTGGATGACACAGTGTGCCATGTGCTTCAGCTAGTGGTATTAATGCAGTCTGTTACAGCCTTCCCAGTTATTGCGATCTTTCTTGCTGAGTTCAAGATACTTAATTCTGATATTGGACGACTTGCTAGTTCTTCATCAATGATATGTGACATGTGCTTTTGGTCCTTTATGTCGGTATTTTATGTGGCACATGTAGCCAAAGAAAAATCAATGCAATCAGCATTTGGCTCTATTCTATCAGTTGGATTCCTTGTTTATCTCTTGTTATTTGGAATCCGTCCTGCAGCTTTGTGGGCAATTCGAAATACTCCAGAAGGTAAACCTGTGAAAGATGCTTATATCTATGTGATTTTTGTTGCATTAATGGGCTTCGGATTTCTTGGTGAAGTCATCGGAATAAATTCGCTTATAACAAGTTTCCTTCTGGGGGTGGTCATACCAGATGGACCACCATTGGGAGCAGCAATAGTGGATAGGCTTGATTGTTTTGTATCAGCATTGCTTATGCCCATCTTTTTCACCCTATGTGGATTAAAGACCAATGTTTTTTCCGTTCAGAAATGGAAGACCGTGGGCGTAATTCTATTGGTTGTCTTCATTGGTTTCTTGGGAAAAATTATAGGCACAATGCTACCTCCTCTATTCTGCAGAATGCCATTTCGAGATGCCCTTGCTCTAGGTCTTCTCATGAACTCCAAGGGCATTGTTGAACTTGTCCTGTTGAATGACTGGAAGACAAACAGTGTGAGCCACCTGTGACTTGTTTCCTTTTGACTTGGTTTTAATGCTTTAAAACTCATTAACTGCATATCTCCCCTTTCCGATGGCATAACTTTTCTGAGATATAGTTAAAACATAAATGATATGACAAACTAGTTTGACAGAACTTATAAGCATATTGTTGCTGGAGACCTAGAAGAGGGTTACTTCTAATTGCTTAATCAATAGAGATAGTTGCCTTAATGTGCAGGACAGCATGACCGATGAATGCTTCGCCATTATGATTCTCTCTGTCGTGGTTTTAATAGGAGCAATCTCACCACTTGTGAGAGCTCTTTATGATCCGTCGAGGAGATTTCTGGCTTACAGGAGGAGGACTATACGCCATCACCACAGCAACGAAGAACTACGGATTCTAGCTTGTATTCTTAGCCAAGATAATGTCCGGACAATTATCAACCTTCTTGATGTCTCGAACCACACCAGCGAAAACCCTATTGGTATATATGTCCTCCACCTCATCAAGCTAGCTGGACGTGCTTCCTCTCTACTGATCACACACCTTCCACGCGAAAAACCTTCTCAAAACCCTACCGAGTCAGAAAGAATCTTCAACGCATTTAAGAAATTCGAACATGAAAATTGCAGTCATGCTGCTCTGCATTGCTGTAAAAGCATTTCGCCTTATGAAACTATGCACAATGATGTGTGCTCCGTAGCCTTAGAGCATAGAATATCTTTCATAATTATTCCTTTTTACAAGCAGAGCATAAATGGGAAAATGGTAAACTCATTTCATGTATTCAGGCACCTGAACAAGAATGTGCTTGACAAGGCTCCTTGTTCAGTTGGGGTACTAGTCGATCGTGGGAATTTTAGGAAATCTTTTGCCGAGCTTTTATCTTGTCGAATTGTTGTGCTATTCTTCGGTGGTGCAGATGACAGAGAAGCACTAGCTTATGCTGTGCGGATGTCAGGGAATCCTCATGTATCAGTCACACTTTTACATTTCACTACGACATCAATTTCTGAGGGTGCCGAAATTGCTGGTGGTACAGAAAGGAGCAAGAGGCTCGACTCTGAAATATTAGACGAATACAAGTTAAACGCCGAAGAGAATGAACGTGTTTCTTACCTAGAGGAGGTAGTTATGGACAGTGAAGGTGTTCTTGCTGTGATTGAATCAATCGAGAATTCTTATGACCTTGTCATGGTTGGGAAGCGACATGGAGAGTCAGAGTTGATGTCTAACCTTGGGAAGTGCAATGAACATATAGAGTTAGGGGCAATAGGAGAGATGCTAGCCGTCACAGATTCTGAGCTAAGAGCTTCTGTTTTGGTGGTTCAACAACAGACTAGAGTTTGGGGTTTGCGCGACGCAGAGGACTCATCACTACTAAGAAGAGAAGAAAAGGATGTTGCAGGAGTTCCTAATAGCAATGTCTATAGGATTTGATTATTTTTTAGCAATATATCCTCCTTTTTTCCCCTTTTTTTATCCTTTAAAGCCCTATGATTTAGAGTACAGATGAATGTATCTAGTTAGAAAAACAGAAATCATTATAAAATAAAAGACTAAAAAACATTGTGTTTTGACTCTGCATGGTTCGTTTCCGAAAGAGCCGACTTTTGATTGCATGAGCTTGTGAAGTCCCACAGCGGATATTCCTCCACCAGCTGATTCAATGTCCATTGAGTGGCCCTGTCAAATCAATCATTATTAATTAATTCAATTTAAAAATTTAAATTATAAAGTAAAATTTATAATTTATATTATTTTTTAAATATTTTTTTAATTTATATTAATTTATATTTATTTTTTATCAAATAAATAATATATATTTTTAATATTTTTTAATTTATATTTAATTTTTATTAAATAAATAAAAATGATAAAATTTATGATAGCTTAATTATAAAAACTTTAATATTATATTAAAAAATTAATTCAACAAATTAGTATAAAAATTTAAATTATTAAATAAAAATAACCATTTAATCATAAAAACTTTAATATTATATTAAAAAAAAATCAATTCAACAATTCAGTATAAAAATTTAAATTATTAAATAAAATTTTAAAATATAATTTCTATTATTCTTTAACACATTATTATTAATAAAATATATATTAGGATGCAATACTTTACTCAGAGGAGTTGTAGGATGTTAATTATAACGGTAACATCATAATTATTAATAAAATATAAACTAGAATACTTTATTGAGGTGTTGCAGGATGTTAATTATAACGGTAACATCATAACGGTACTGGACAACAAGATGCTGAAGATGGATCCCAGGCAGCATCGATAGTAACTTGAGTGTTGAATGAACATGATCTTATTTAGTTGGCAGATGCCACGGCATATCTTATCCACAGACTTCAGGGCTAGCAGAGTGGATTGAGTTCCTAGGGCCACTTGGTTAATCGAATCAAGGAAACAAGAAATGAACTTCAATCGTGAAAATACAGCTATAACAAAATGCCATCAGAATCGTAGCATTCTTTCTTTTTTCTTTTATCCTAATCTTGGTTGCAGTTTGACACATTTGCTGATAAATCCCCATTGACCCTTGAACACCTTTACAGTGTTTTCAGAAACCTGGACCATTTTATCTGGTACAAGTTCTGCTTATAATCAAATTTATTAAACTTGTTGTTTGAACTTATGATACAACTCGTAGCACATTACCGTGCAGCGATTCGTTGATAATTTTTGTTTGTTTTGCTTAATTTGATTCTTGGCATTGCTACCTACTATTCCACCTAATATTTAATTAAGAGTTACTAAAAAACCTAATATTTAATTGAGAATTACTAAAAAACATAAATATACGGATCAATATTAAAAATTCAAAAATAAAAAATTAGTTATGATTAAGAAAAATATTAGCATTTCTAATATATTCTACTTAAAATAAACTACTTTATAATTTGATTTTAAAATATGAATTAAATTCTATGATTTTAATAAATCAATTATTAAATCTTATAATATATATAGAAACATGTTCTTACATTTTCATACAAAATATAATATAATTTTATTTATCTTTAAAAATATTTAATTATATTTAAATTAAACACTTAATTCTTTTTTTTTTTTATAATTCAATAACATAAATAAAAAACAAACAAACACACATCTTTTTTCATTATGCTTACTCACCCATAATTACATATTTACAACATAACACAAAAAAATCAAATAAATCGAAACACAACAATATCTAAATATACACAATAACATTTGAAAATTACAAAAATAGCTTTGGAAATAGTGCTACAGAATTCTGGGCATCTTTTGTAATTGTGGTACAATGGCGGCGTGTCTCCTCCACACACCTCGCCACTGACAATGCGTGGGTTCACGTGCTGCCGCGAAATCTGGGCAGCAGCAGAGATCCATAATGGCTTCCTCCCTTCTTTCTTTCTTTGCTGGCGATGAGCACCGCTGTTACCTACAAAACACTCAAAAACATAACAAACTAGTCTGTTTTAGTTTTGTTTTCAGATCGGCTTCTCTTCATTCCCCGTTTTCAGATTTGCTTCTCTTTCTCTTCCTTTTTCAGATCTGTTGATCTCTCTGCAAGATTTTTTGTTTCCTCTTCTTTTGTTTCAAATGGCCGGTGGCCTGACCAAGGAGCTGCCGGTCTATGGGCGCTGCTGGGTTGTTGTTGCTGTTGTCACGGTGGAACGAAGAGAAGACTGGGAAGAGGACAGCGAGGCTACCGCTATGTTTGGCCTGAGGAAGAAAGGAGCCGCAGTGGGGTTGATCGCCTGAGTCAGTGGGCGGTGATGTCTTCTTGGCCGCGAGGGAGAGCGACAGCCAGTGGAGGGGCGCGACCGACTAGCTTTAGGTCATAAAGCAGGGGCTAGCGGCCGGGAGAGGAAGGATCTGAAATGGACGGGCTGCTGGTCTGTAAGAAGGAGAAAAAATAGGGGAACGACAGCTGTGGCTTGGTTTTGTGGCTGAGGAGAAAGGGCCAAGAGAGGGGGAAATGGAAGGGTCTCTCTTGGTTCAAGGAGGGGGGCGACGATCTGTCTTCTTTTGCTTTTGTGGTTTTCGTTGCCAAATGAGAGAGGGACGACCGACCCCAATAGAAATAGTGGAAGGAGATCGTGAGTGGCCGGGGGAAAAAAAGCTTTTTGATGATGGGGCGGTGGCGGCTTGATGTGAAAGAGATAGAATTAGTTTTTTTTTTCCTACTGTTCCTCCCCCTTTTTTTTAACTATAGCTTAGTATTTATAGGAGAAGTGTTGCTTGGCCAAAATCACAATGGTCCCTTAATTTTTCCTTTTCTTTTCTTTTCTTTTTTTTTTGTTAATTTTGATTTTCTCCTTTTGTTTTTGTATTTTTGAAAGCGAGCAATATCAACATCAACTCAACAAGAAAAATTAGTTATCATAAAATTTACACGTTAAAAGTTGAACGCGTTTCAAATACCTTTCAAAATTAATTTTTTTAAGATGATGTTGAAAAAGCTAAAAACGATATATATATATATATATATCAAAAATGCATTTTTTGGGGTTTTCATTGTTTTCTTTGTTATTTTTTATTTTTATGAAAATTTATCAAAAATATAAGTCAAAAATTGGATAGCAACATAACTCATGACTATAATCCTTCTCCTATATGAGAACAAAATATAGATAGATTACTGTAGTATTTATCATGGGAAAAGTAGTGTAGATACGTCTATTTTAGATTCCTGTGGATTTTAATTTGACTGAAAAATTAGATGAATTGGACTTAAGGGGTAAAATGATATTTTTATAAATTTAATTTATCATTCTTTATTTGTTTAGGGGAAACAATGTTTTTTTTTAATAACATTAAAATTATTGTGCTAACATTGAAAAATTAAAAATCATAACCTTTAGTTAGAGCTTTATAGAAATTTCATTTCCAAATAAAAAAATCTAATGACTCCATTAGCCTTACCATCTAAATTTCTTACCATTCAAATTTTTTAGTCTCGACTTCATGAGCTTGATAATAATTTCATAAGAATTTCATAAGAATTTCATTTCCAAATGAACAATGTAAGGACACCATTGGTTATACCATCCAAATTTTTTAGTCTCGACTTCACAGCTTAGTAGTAATTTCATAATATTTTTTTCTGTTATAATTGTTTAGTCTTAAAGGCATTTGAGTTTTTGTACAAATAAAATAAAAAAAATTGTTAACACGTGCCAAGCACGCATAAGTCATTCTGCTACCTTTAAGCGGTGTGTATAATTGACTATAGTTGTTTTAGTTGTGCTTTCACCACATCATTTGATTTGTCTTGATGTCCTCTTCCTCCTTATATGTCATGTGTATATTGGTTCGATATAATTTGGAGCAAATTTACATTTCTTTTTTCCTTTCATTTCTCTCTCATTCATCTTGATTTATGTGTTGTCCTTTGTAAAAATATGAAGCCCAATAATAAAGTATATAAAGAGGGGGAGGTTTATAATAATTCAAAATGTTGTTATAATACAAAATAATGTAAAAAAAAAAGGGTGAAAGATGAGGCTAAAATGGAATTAAGAAGAGATGGGACTATAAATACCCATCTCTTCGATTGATAAAAAAAAAAGGGGAGAATTTCAGATTTTTCCTTCATCAAAATTAGAAGTAAACACCTAAAATTAGTAAACCCAAATAAGCCTTGGAATTATTAAGTAGAGGAACACAATCGGGTGGAAGAATTAACAAGAAGAAAAGTGAAGAATTGTTAAAGAAAAAAGGGGGAAGAGTGGCCAACTATATACAAGGAGAAGAAGGCTAAGATTCTTCTAAAATTTATGAAGTAAAGTTTAGATTTCTATCCAAGTAAGGATTTTTAATTCCAATTTCTATGAAATCAACTTCAATTTGATTAAAAGTTTATGCTTTTCATAAATTAGGAAATTAGAAATTATGGTTCTTTAACATAAAATGTTGGAAAAATGCAGAAATGAGTAAGGTTAAATGGATTAGAATAATTTAAGTGCCTTAAAGAAGAAGAAGAAATGAATTCATAAAAGAGAGGAAGGGAACTCTTGGTTCCCTTGAGCACGTTCTCTGCTGAGATACTGCAGAGAGGGAATGAAAACTTATGATGTGTTTAATTAATTAATTTGGTATAAGTGACCTTAAGAGGACATAAAATGAGACAGGAATGCCATGAATAAAGGGAAGGCATGACTGTGACTGATAAGGAAACAGGGATTTAAGATGAATTGGAGATACTTTCTCCATTAGCAAAACATGGTAGGTTTGTTGCTCTATTTCCTAAGGGAATTTGGACATGAAAACTACAGCACCTAGGGAGGGTACCTATAGAAGTTGTTATAGGGAGTGTTAGCTTTCCAATGAGTTTAACCCTGCCTAATTTGGAGTCCTGAAACTCTAGATATAGATAAAAATCTAAGGCGAAGTCAAGTTGCCACTCTTGTTGGCAGATTCAGCTAAGTAAATAAAATGGCGAAATTTAGCCATATTAAGGGTAGAATTTGTTTTCTTGCCCTTTATAAAGTGTGTCTTGATCTTCAGAAAGAATAAACTATGATCAAAATTTAATTTATGATGTCCACTTGGACTAATAATGAGCTGAAAAGTTAAAGGATAATAATAAGGAATGTAAGTGAGAAATAAAAGATTGGTAAAAGAGAAATGAATATTATTTCCATTGTTGCTGTTGCGTGTTATATGTGGACTAATATGGAATAATGATGGGTGTTTATGGTTTCAGGAGGAACAACGGGAGGAGTATAGTAACCATAGGGGAACGCAAGTCAAGCGTCTATAGCAGGTAGGTATTTGGTACCTATATCTCCTCTAGTTAATAATTATTTTAACCAACTATTGAACTATAAAAATATGGTGCTTATTGATGAGGAAAAGAAAAGGGGGAAAGGAAAGGTAAAATGATGGAAAAAAAATAGAAACAAAGGACTAGATTTAGTTTATAGGTTCTTTTGGAGGAAATGAACAATAACAACAAATCTTGATAATGATTGTTCTCAAATTTGATTTGTCTATCCCTGATATGAGAGGTTAATGATGCTAACTAAGCTGGTTAACATTGGCATTACCGGTACGTGGGAGAAGAAATATAAACCTTGATTAACTATTTGAGTTCAGAATTGTTAATGATATTGGAGAGTGACGTTGATATCGGCAATATTTATAAACTTGATTAACTATTCAATTTTAGAATAGTTAATGATATCAGCAAGTGACGTCGATATCAGCAAAACTTATAAACTTGATTAACTATTCGGTTTCAAAATAGTTAATGACATTGGTGAGTGATGTCGATATCGGTAAAATTTATAGATTTGATTAGCTTTCTGAGGTGAAAACTAATGATGTCAAGAATTCTTTACATCGGCATACTTGAGAACCTTCCAAGGTAATATGGAACATTGATTTACTATTTTAGTTTTGAAAATAGTTAATGATATAAATGGTCATGTTTGTGCCGATATTTTCATGAAACTAATTAGTTGTTCTTAGTACGGGTAATTAAAGACACTAATAGAAGTCAATGGTGTCAGCAATAGTCTTTTCAATGTTGAAGGGGGAGAAGTAATCAACAAAAGCAAAATTTTTTTTATAAACTTTAAAAGGGGTTTATGGTTGTATTAAGAATCTCATATGATTTAATTAGATAAATATGTTGTTAATTTTTCTTCTATAAATTACTTGTAATTTAATCATTTGTTTTTAATTATATGAAAAATTTATATTTTTGTAGGCCCCCCCATTCACATCAGGAATAGATTTTAAGTTATTTGATCCCTTTTTGTATAAGTTAGAAACTTAAAGATTTGTGGTGTAATTTTATCATGCAGTAAACATGTAATCTGTATAGAATATTATATTCATAATATTTTGTTTCTAAAATATTAAATGTATCAACCTATGCTTGAGATATTAGAGTGTACTAGATTATGTTAGACTATTAAACTCTCTCTCTCTCTCTATATATATATATATATATATATATGAAATCTTCATGCTCGAATTGGCTCTTTCAATTATTAACTTATGTGTGTGATGTAAGATGGAGTTTGGGACTAATTATGGTCCTAAACATAATCTGGAATGAATTATGCAATTTATTGTACTAAACATGGATGTGATTGTGGATGAGATATAATTTTAGATATGTGCAAGGTACATTATCGATAACTTAGGATCCCCTGGTATATGGGAGATTCTGTCAAAATTTCAGCAAGTAAAAAAAAAATATGCTTCATCTACCCTTTATAGAGGGGAAGATTAACAGATAAACTAATAGTAAAATTGAGATTGTTACAAAAAATCACAACAATCTTTCAATTTCTTTCCCCTTTAACTTTAGTCCCTCTTATCTTAATTGCAATTTTTGAACTTGAAAACATTATTTAAATTTGAAAATTATTTTCAATTTCATTCTTTTTTAATATTTTCATCTATCATATTTAGTCCCTATTATTTTTATTGTTGTTATTTTAATTTTAGATAATTTATAAAATTAATTTTTTTATGATTTCATCCTCTTTCAATTTTTTTCCATCAAATTTGATCATCATTCTTTTAATTATTAATTTCATGCTTTGACAAGTTTTTTAGATTGATTTTTTTTTAATTTTATTCTTCAACGTTAAATTGATTAGGAATTGACCGTCTTAATTAAATTCGGGTATGCAATTTTATAGGTTGCAATATTTTTTCTTACAATTTTATCCTTAACATTAAATTAGTTGGGAAGTGATCTTTTTTATTAAGCCCAAGTATAGGATTTCACAGGTTTTGATTTTGGAATATTAACTCAAATTTAGAAGATTCACTTGAGTTTTCTTTGTTTTTCATGTTGTTAAATTATGGTTTGCTTTTTTTATACTATTAAATTAACCAAACATAACTTTTGCTTCTTTCATGTTATTGTGGAATATTATCATAGAACTACCTTAACATTTTTCTTCTTGCAATCAGAAAATTCACCCCAGCCTGCATTGTTGTGCCAAACGCCAATTATATGTTTTTATTCGCTTTTAACCTTCAATATTTGATTCATTATAATTTGGCTTTTTAATATGTCTAGGTATGGATTTGATGGTTTTATCGCTTTTTATATCGTGGGTTTCACAGGTTAACCATGGTTGACGTAAGTTAATTCGATGTATTGACATCTCAATATTTCTTTTAGAAAAATATTTCATCATTTTTTAATTATATGTTTTTATT